GGTGCTTTAATAGAGGGAACAGATACAAATCTCAGCTGGCACGTATTTCAATTGGCCCAAATTAGCATGGTGCCACTTCTGCAAAACTGACTGTTTACATCACTGAGCTGTGTCCTAGAAGCAAACCAAGTAGTCATTGCGCCTTGTAAAATAACCTGAGACAAGGGAAGAACTTCTTTCTCTTGTGAGGGCTGGGATGTTTCAGCATTTGGCACCCAGCTGCCAAGAGTACATTAGAATGTGTTCTATTTAAACACGTGGTATCTTGCTGTGCTTTTCCCAGTGTTTGTATTTTAAACACACGTTCTTGTACTGCATGGTAAACTTAATGAAGTGTATTTAACTGTTGGTTACATTTTCTTACTTGAATTACCAGATTTACTTTCCTAACTACTGCTGATCTCTCTTGCAGTGGTGACTTCAGTGCTTTGAAAATTTTTCCAAAAACATTTCAAAATACTTATGGACCACTTAGTGCTCATTAATTTAGCTTGAGGCCTGTATATTTAGGCCACTTTGAAACTAAGTTTTCTTATTTTACCTTATATCTGTTGTGCATGTTTATAGTGAGTTCTGAGGAGTGTAATTGTCTTCTTATTATGTGAGTGAGTGAATGTCTGTTAAAAACTAGCATAACTAGACCTTGATCTTGGTTGAGGATGTTAGTTATGCTTTTAAATCAAATAATAAATTAATTGTTAGTTTCTTCACTGGACTTTTTCTAAAGGGAATCTGTAAGTGCTTAAAATTCTGCTATTTCTCAGATGTGTCAAAGAAAATGAAGCATGCTCTTTTATTATTTGTCAGGTAGGATTTTCAGTAAATGGTACATTTGAAATCTGGACAGGTTCTTAGGTATAAGTTCACTTTTTCTGAAGCAGTGAGAAGTCTTCCTGTTTATATATTGCTTTATAAACTTTCTAATGAATTCTCATTTTCTTGGGCTTTTAATCTCTAAAATAATATGTTCGCCCTTTAGCTCACATTTCTTTCTTTGAAATGAGACTCATGAATAATGTAACGTATCTAATAGAATTTAATTTCATTCCCATTAGAGATCCCAGACATTATGAACAGAAAGCATCTTAAATTTTTCAGGTAAGTTCTTTTTATTATCACTACTAATCTGTTTATGGAAAACAGTGTTTCTGAATTTGACATGTTATATGTCCTTTTTCTTAAAAAAAGAATTTATGCAAAACTGTCAAAGGATTTGTCATTTGAAAAAGCAGACTAGGTATGCTGTTGCTATTTCAGCATTTATTAGCTGTTAGAAGCTAAGTGCTGGTGACAGTTAATCATTAAAATATTGGGAAGGTTAGAAAGCTTCAAAAAGTAGAATTACATTTCTGTAACTTAAATATCTTTTTTCAGTATTCTTAGAGAATATTTTCTCTTTACGTAGAGTTCTGACCTTAGCTGTTCACTGATTTACAAAAACCCTAGCATTTACTCTTAATGTTCAAGGATCAAGACATGAATTTATTGATAAATTGAATTACACTGTTTTCTTATCAAAATGAGATTTCAGATAGTAATTTTAGTCATATAACATAGTGACTTCAGATATTTTTAGTCAGAACTTACCATTAAGTAACTAAACCTGCACTAAGTTCTTAGTCATATTTTCTAAGTGTAGTAAGTATTTCTGTGTACATACTAGTTGTAAATCTTAAGCCAACTGAGGACTTGCATCCAGTTAAAAGACCTGGGAGCTGTGCACATTTGGGCCAGTAAGCCAGTATGCCTTGGTAATGGATTGAATGAACACTCCTGCTGACAGCTCTGTCAAATAAGGTACTTTAAGGGGAAAAAAAGGAGCCTTACGAATGCTTATGTTGCAAGGAAAGATATACCATTATACCATTAACTCCTAGGGGTGGTATGTAGCAAAAAATCATGCTTAGAGGATGATGGAATGAAGCAACAGACCTCTGGCTGCTGTGTTTATAAATACACTATTGACTTCTTTCACTGGGATGTCTGATGGAAGTAGTGTTGTATTATCTTGGTAGAGCAAAAACATGCCTATCTCCTAATTGGCAAATACTGGCTTTGCCCTTGAGAAAAATTATCCATGCAGTGCACTTACTGTGATCAAGAAGGCATTCCATTAATTGAGTACTGGATTTGACTTGTCATATATAAATGAACCTTTCCTCCTTCATGCAGCCGTTTGAAATAATACACTTACACGAATTAATGCTTACTAACATTTTGTGTCCTCTTGAAGTCAGTCCTACAATATTTTAACAGTTACCATAAATCATAATGAAGGACTTTATGTACATGTGGTATCAGCTCTGCAAATGGCACATCCAGATGAAGAAACTCTCCCAGTGTAAGCAAACCAAAAAGAAGTTTGGGAGTTTAGTTTGTCAAATCGAAAAGCAGGCAGCATGAAGTAACTGAGGAAACAGATAGTCTGTGGGAATAAAGTGAATCAGATTTTTTGTTCAGAATGTCAAATCTGAAAGCATTTAATTCTTCACAGAGATGTTACAGCTGCTGTAGTATACAGATCAGGTGAAAACATTGGTCCTTATTCATCCTGCAGTATGAATACTCAGGGACTGAGTAGAATTTAGAAAAGCAGCCTCACTTGAGTTACATCTTCTGAAGAAAGGTGAAGTAACTCTGCTACATTCCTTCTTGCTGTTTTTATTGGTAATGGGTTTTCTTTACTTTTTTCTTCAAGAGAATGGGATGGTGATCTGAGGAAACTGCCAAACATCAAAATGAAAAAGCTCTCAGCTAGGGATGCTGCTTGCAGTAACCCTGAGGTGGCAGATGTGGAAGCTAAAGAAGAATTGAATAAAGCAGAAGAGGTGGCCTAATGAGCACCAGCTGATTCAAGAGCTGAAGGAGACTGTAAAAAACCTATTTTAATGATCACTAGAAACAAGAATAAATTCTAACTGTATTTGCAGAGGCTTTTCTAGTTGCATTTTTTATGAGCTTACCGTGTACCTGTGGTAAACATTAAACAGTATATTACTGGGTAAAGCTGTATATTGTTGGATAAAAAATCTGAAAAATCTTAACTGTGTCCTTCTCATATTGTACCTTCACTTTAGGATGCAGGCTCCTGAGTTGACAAAGCAGATTGTCTTAATAATGGCAAGAGTGTATGTCATGTTGTATATAAACAGCAGGTACCCTGGTAAACAGTAGGGCCACCTAGCATCAACTTTTACTCATCACTTGTGATGGTGGCTGGGATGCCTCTGGCTGTATGCAGTTTTGTGGAGAGCAGTAGTAGGCCTCATCTCACAAAATCCAGAACACTCAGCTTGGGTGTAAGAAATGGTCTCTCACTTGGTGGAAATGTATATGCAGAATATGAGGTACATGGAGAGTCAGTTAATTCTGAAGAACTCTTATATTGTACCTGTCCTGAGAATCTGTGTCAGGAACATAGAAAGCTGGAAAGACTTCAATAAAATATTGAGTGTTTTATGTTTTGTCAAGAGAATTTGAGAGAATTACACTGTCTTCACCACTCTGTATTGAAGAATTCAGCTCAGAAGCCAATTGAAATCCCTACAGTCTGTTTTTAAATACCTTTTGTCCATTTTTTTTCTTTCTTTTGTGCCCCCTCTGTTGAGAAAGCTCTGCATTTTTAAAGTAAGTTGCTTAGGACTTCTAAATAGCACCCTTGCTTTATGAAGCAACTTTTTAGGTGCATTTAAATGTGTCTTTCAGGAAGGTTCTTAGCTGAATCTCGCTTCTAATACTGTAAAATAAGTTAAAAAAAAAAAAAAAAGGGTAAGGGCAAAGCCAGGGCTAATTTCACACCAGGAATTAAGTAGGGCATCTCTTAGTGTGGATTAGATTGTTTGGGTACAGAAGTCGCAGTTCATATGCGCTATCTGTATACTTTGTAGGAGTCACAGTTCAGCTGCTTGTAAATTACATGGAAATAATTATTCCTGGTGGATAATCTTTCTAGTACTCAGTCCCCAGTACAGTTCTGTGTGTTAAACAACAAGGCATTGTCACGGTAAGTAGATAATGTGGATTCCCAGATTTCTTTTACAGATAATTTTCTAGGTTTGTATTTTCTTAGCTGTGCGATAAGTGTAACTGATGTTATTCTATTAATATCTATATTAAGTTACTATATAGGCTTGTGCTATCCTTTCCTGATTTAGAGAACCAGTATGTTTTTGTAATACAGAAATAACTGTTGTCCTCTTTAAATTAATGTGAAGAAGCAGCCTGAAAAATTTAACAGACCTGAAGCATGTGTGAGTGATCTAATGCATCTTCAGATGGACCGTAAATCTTAAACCTGGATAGAGGTCTTGTCCTCTGATACCAGCCATATCTCTGCACTGTCACATCATTGCTTTGTGTTCATGTTTTAGAATCAAGTGTACTGCAGTTCAGGTCAGGCTTTGCTATTTTTTTTAACTTTGTTAAATTGACCGGTCTTACGGAATTCAACTTTTGATTTATAAAATTTGAGGTGTTAAACTTCCTGGACTGTTGAAAAATATTTGACACTGTTTCACATGACATCTTTGTCTCTAAACCAGAGAGACATGGATTTGACAGGTAGACCACTTGTTGGATAAGGAATTGGCTGGATGGTTGCACTCAGAGAGTTGCGGTAAATGACTTGATGTCCAAGTGGAGACCAGTGGTGTTCCTCAGGGGTCAGTACTGGGACTGGCGCTGTTCAACATCTTTGTCGGTGACACATGGACAGTGGGATTGAGTGCACCCTCAGGAACTTTGCCAAGACCCCACCTGCAGTACTGCGTTCAGCTCTGGGGCCCCAATACAAGAGGTACATGGACCTGCTTGAGCAAGTCCAGAAGAGGGCCACAAAGATGCTCAAAGGGCTGAAGCACCGCTCCTGTGAAGACAGGCTGAGAGAGATGGGCTTGTTCAGTCTGGAGAAGAAAAGGCTCTGGGGAGACCCTAGAGCAGCTTTCCAGTGCCTAAAGGGGGGCAACAGAAAATCTAGAGAGGAGCTTTTTACAAGTGCATGTACTGACAGAGCAGAGATTTACATTAGGTATTAGGAAAAAATTCTTTACTATGAGAGCAGTGAGGAACTGGCACAGGTTGCCCAGAGAAGCTGTGGCTGCTCCATCTGTCCTGGGTTCAGCAGTAGCAGTCATGTTTTCCCTTTGTGTTAGCTGGTGCAGTGCTGTGTTTTGACTTCCAGCCTGGGAACAATGTTGGTGATACCGATGTTTTCGGTTGTTGCTAAGTGATGTTTACCCTGACCAAGGACTTTGTGAGGCTCATGCTCTGCCAGGGAGGAGGGGAAGCCGTGAGGAAGCAGAGACGGGGCGCCTGACCCAGGCTAGCCAAAGAGGTATTCCATACCACAGCACATCATGCCCAGGGCGGGGGGTAACTGGGAGTTACCCGGAAGGACAGGGGCTTCCGGGTGGGACTCGTTTCTTGGCTGGTGGTATCGTATTCTCTTCCCTTGTTATTTCCTTTATCATTATTATCATTGGTGGTAGCAGTAGTGATTTGTGTTATACCTTAGTTACTAAACTGTTCTTATCTCAACCCGTGGGAGTTGCATTCTTTTCGATTCTCCTCTCCATCCCTCTGAGAGCAGGGGGAGGGCAAGAAAGGGGGGGAGTGAGTGAACGAGTTACCTGACTGGGTTTAAACCAGGACACCATCCCTGGCTAGTGTTCAAGGCCAGGTTGGATGGGGCTTGGAGCAATCTGGTCTAGTGGAAGGTGTCGCTGCCTGTGGCAGCAGGGCTGGAACCAGATGATCTTTAAGGTCCTTTCCAACTGAAATCGCTATGTGATTATAATTCTAGCGGAAGGTGAGCCAGGGTAATCGGCCTGAACTAAAGCCGTGTATGTGTTTTTCAGTGCTTTGACAGATTTTGCTTTTCAGAAGGTTCATCTTAACTTTTTGCTTGTATACAGCATCTGATGTGCTTTGAAATTTTAAGCAGAAACATTGCAGAAAATGTCACTTTCCCATCACACTGGGTAAAATACAAAAGGAAAACGAGGAGTAAGATAACTACTTGTCACAGTTATGACAGGTGAATGCTTTAAAAAAGATCATATCAGAGAGATATGAAGAATAAGATGTTCTGTATTCCTTGAAACAGTTCAGTTATAAGACATTACAAAAAAGTAATTATGGCTTGTGTGGTTGATGTGATAGTCAAATATTTGAAGTGATTTCTTTTTTAACATTTGTTATTCATACATCAAGAACATGTTTACAATTTGGACTTTGTTGAGTTTGTGGATTTTCTCCTTTGAAGGCCACGTTTTCTCTGCTTGTTTAGCTGACTTTTAAAATGTTTCGTTGAACTGCTGCATAAGTAATGAACAAACAACAGGTTCTGTGTGTGAACTTTTTATATTGAATTATCAGAAAAAATCATATGCAGCTGTCAAATATTCATATTTGAATTGAAAAGTAATCTGGACTTAAGTTGATGATGTGCCAGTTTACTGGATGAGTTTTGTTGCAGAATACTAATGTGGCAATGGGAAAGAAAAAAGAGAAAAAAGCCATGTATTTATTGATTTAATTTAATTTCTGTGCTCAGAGTTTTGGTGCCAAGAGGCCTGGAGGGAGTCTTTTGCCTCATATGTGTTACTGAGACAAGGTAGTGCAATCTCTTCTATCAGTTTCATAATCCAATCATGCCTGTGCTTTAAAGTCAGCTATTAGGGTTCTGTATGCTGATGAGTTTCTTCCCTATGGTGGAAAAAAATGATGAATGATCTCAGGAGTTCAGAATCGTTATTCTGTTTCTTTAAAATTAGAATCTACAAAGCAGGTGCTTTAAAGGTGGGAATGGGAAGTATTTCTGTGATAGTTCTTACAAACTTGTCTCAAAATTCTGTTCATTTGTAACTGAGGATTACAGACTTCAGTGTTAAATACTCTGTTATAATTTTCTGTGATGGGCTTTTATGGTCAAAGATTAATGTTATGGAAATTTAATTCTTAAATTGTCAGATATTGCTTCACAATATTTTTTCATTTTTAACTGCAAAGTTGTAATAGTTAAAAATCAAGTTTCTTTAATTGTAAGGGCTCCTATTAAATAAAAAAAATCAAACAAAAATGGAACACTTTAACATGGAAAGCCACTTTTATGTAAGAACTTTGGGGCTTTTAAAATGTGCTTTCTAAATTTTTACACTTTACAGTGTACTTACTAAGCTATACTTTTACTCCAGCCAGCCTTGGAGAGCTAAGACTTTGCTAAGGAACTGGTTGAACTACATTCAGACTTTCAGTAGCATTTGGGTTGCTATTATTGCTTGCTCTGATTTTGAAACTTACTCTATTGATGGTCTCAGCTGGAAAGAACCAGCTGACTTTAATTCCAGTAGCAGTATGGTTTTTTTTTTATGTAAACAAAATAAGTGTTGATTTTTAAAAAACCCAACCAACCAAGCAAAAAACCGCCCCATAAACTCAGAAAACACTGTCCTTCTCAAGGCTGGTTGTATGCAGTAGATTGACTAATTTACATTTTTTTAGTGTTGGAAACTAATGCGACTGAATTAATAGAATTGTTCATGGTTTTGCAGTCTGCTCTAAAAAGTTGGCTCTAAAGGGATGAGACTTCCAGTTGTGATGTGGAGAAACAAGCATACAGCGAAGCACTTAGCCTTAGCATTGTATTTGTTATTTTTTTTCCTCTGCCAAAGCATGCTATATTTTTTTCTATGCCAAAGTATCCTTATGGAACTCCAGTATGTGCAATGGGATGCAGAAAGTCAAAAAGGCAATGTATATGAACCATTTTATAAGCCATTCTTAAATAGTTCAAGGAAGATACTTAACCGGTACATTATGTGTGATTGATTTATTTTTTTTTGTCTTTGATTGGAATAGCATATTTACTTATCTCTGTAATGACACTGTTGTGTGTGAGGACAGAATCTGGGATCCAAAAATGTGTATGTTAGACTACAATTTAATAATAACAAAAAAATGCCTACATCATATTTCTATCTTCTGGCTCCTTCAAGAGTAAAAATTCATTATTCTTGACTTCCAGACTTTCTCCCAGAAGTTTTATGAATGTAAGAAACTTTGCCAATGAGGTGTTGTGATTTATGCGTAACAGTTTAAGCTGTTGCCTTAAATACAGCTAAGTAGGATCCTGTGCAGAGTTCCTGTAATGAAATTCTGTAAATAAGTTGATGGTGGGAGACTTATTGTAGAGGTCCTGTAATCGAGTTCCCTAAGTCTTAACTGCTTGTATGGAAAATACTGCCTTATTTTCATAAAAAGGAGGAGTTTAATATGTAACTAGTTACCTGTTACAAATGAAAAATAAAACTATATAAACTGTAAATTGAGTTATTAGACCAAAATGCCAGCATTAGTCTAAAACCAAAAGCATTTTCTAAATAAATATAGAAAGGTGGCAGCGTTCTACTAATGTCAGCTCATGTTCAACTTCATATATAGTCAAGAAGGACAGTAACATGCTGATTTGAAAATTTGTAAAGTGACAATGGCCATTACTAGGATATGAACTAGCCCAAAATTCTCACACATACTTTTTTAAATTAAATATTCCTCTTTTTTCTCCAGCTCTCAAAACGTATTACCAAGCGTTCAAGTAAAGTGGTACTTGAATTTTTGCCAAAACCTTTGCCTGAACTTTCTTCTAGACTGATCTGTTCTTTTGACTGCATTCTTCACGACTCCTGTAAGTAGCAGTCTTGCTCCTCAGAGCCATTTTGTTTGTTTGTTTGTTGTTCTTTTCTGAGTTTATTTTTTAATATAACCCATCTAAATCTTGCTGCTTTACTTTCCACTTCTATGCTGTTTGTGAACCATTATCAAATTTTGTAGAACATGGTGTTTACCATGTTCTCAGATATATGCATACACATATGTAATGATCCATGCTTCATTATAGCCTTATTTCTTTAAATTAATAAACTGCACAAGGTTGAAAGGCACTGTAACTGTATGGTAGTTCTGAAGGAAAAAAAGAATTAACATGCCATTTATTGAGCTAGATGACCCTAAAGAAAAGTTATCCTTTGTGCCATAAAGGCTGGACAGTTTCCCATGTGGCTTTCAAAAGTAGTTATCCACTGCTAAAATTAGACCTAATTTAGTTAACACACTTAAAAATTACTCTGACTTGTTTTTTATTTGGAATAGTGCTGGTTATTATATTTTCGTGTATACTACCTCTGAGCCATTTAAAAAAGAAAGCATTCAGTGTGATAACTGTGACTCAGTCTCAGTCATAAGTATTTGCAAGTAATAGAAAGGCAAGTCTGTCCCAGAGCTCAAAGCCTGCAGCAGACTGGAATGCTTCTGTTCTCAACCATGGTGTAAAATTTATCCAAGGTTATTTTCTGAGCTCCATGTCTTAGGCGGTGGAAATATAGCACACCATACGAAGTACTTTTGGTGAGCTGTTTGTTAACTGAATTTTTTTAAAACTTTTAGGTAAAGCTCATGCATAGCAGCCTCAATATTTTATTGGGGGGCAGGAGAAGAGGAGAGTGTGAATAAATACCATATAGCACATTTTCTTGTTTATGTGTATATAGAGAGCAAACTGGACAGAAATGTGTTTTGTGTTTAATCAAGAGATTTGAACATTTGTGTGCAAAGCAAGAAGGCATAGTGACATATACCCCTCATCTTTTCATTCTAAAACTAAATTTGGCTCTGTTTTTCCATATGCTAAGAAATGGAAATGAACAGATCTTTATTACTAGAACTCCTTTGGTTGTGCTGTTTCTTCTGTATTATGTCTTGTAGGGATTTGTGAATCCATCTTTGATTTGCACAGTGAGCTAGTTAGGACAATTTTATCAAAATTAACAATCTGTTGGCCTTGGATGTAGGGAATGTAATGTGTTAGAACATTCTCTCATTTATCTGTTCCGAATGTATATTCTTAGCAGCCATATGATGACTTATTCCAGCTAGAACTGTGAAGTTTTGAAACTTAGTCCACTCTCTACCAGGCCGACAATGTAAAGGAATGATACGGAGTAGGTGGGTACAATGCTCTTAAGAAAGCTAAATTTGTAGTTTAGTTGGAACACTGTGTATTTATCGAGATAGGATACTTTCTCTGGTTTTACACCTGACTGAAAGTACAGATTCTTTTATAATACAGACATATAATATTTCTTTACATTTAAAAAAAAAATGCATCTTTAGGGTTTTTGGAAAAGTAGAAGTCTAAAATAATAAAAAGGGGAACAGGATCCATTCTGACAATCAAAGGTGGGATTAGCTTTAAACCATCTAACCCAGCTTTAAAACTTGTTGGACATTCCGCAGTCACACATAACAAACAGTTCATTCCAAAGCACTGCTTTCCTTAGGAAGCATTTTTCCTTTTATCCTCCTACAGTTGAATCCCTATACTAGTTTTCCATTTTGCTATGGATGCAAACAGGTTGTTTTCTGGGCATTCTTTATCCAGTTGAAGCCTGTTCACAGTCTTCCCTTCTGCAAGTTAAACAACTGTAGTTCTTTTCAAGTGTTTTTGTACTGTGAGGTATTTTCCTGAGCATTCTGCCAAGGCATGGTACCCAGAATTGCCACTCTGAGTTAGCAGGTTTGTCAACATTAAGTACATAGCTGAGTGTACTATTCACCTTTCTTGCAAGAGTTTGATCTTGACAATTCATGTTCAGCATGTGATGCTCTCTATAACAAAAGTGACAAACGTAGAATACTACAGTAATTTAGGTCATTTGTTTAATACAAATACATTTTTTTTTCACAACAATAAGCGATACATTACTTTTGTTTCCCTTATCTTCTCTCTTTCAGTACACATTCAACCACAATTTTTCTTTTGCAAAAGAGAGGGAGTTAAACAAGTAACACAAACTCGTAGTTCCAAATATTATACACAGTAAAATATTTTCACCTTACAGTAAGTTTCATTGCATTATTAGAAATTAATTATAAATGGGTTGTTCTGGTGATGGGGAATTATTGATTTTTTCTACACAACAAAAATAAACACTGCCTTCAGAGCAGTGTGTGAATGGCACAGTTGGACTAGTTGAGAATCTTTGTAATGCTTATGATAGTCAAAAGTGGTATGTTTACGCCAGTTTGAAATAAATTTCATAATGCTTGTAACTTAAAACAGGAAATGTGTTTATTCACGGTTAAGAGTCTCTTTAAAATTCCAGATCTGATCTGAAACCAGATTACTTCTACCTACCTTCATTAAAACTTTTTAAACAAGAATGCAGATTAAGCTGCTTTTGGTAATAACGGCTGCTCAGCGCAAGGTTCTGCCCTTGTGGTTTTAGCCAAGGCTAAATTCCACTGCCAGCATCTTTGCCTGAGAATGCATTGTGGCTACACAGGCAGTTTGGTATGGATCTTTATTTAATATGTCATTTTCATTAAAAAATCTTAGAATGTATCTTAAAAGTTTCAGCATACTGTTTTTTTGCAGGATAGAATCCTGTGGTTATTAAATTGATAGAGAAAATTGTGCTTTGTGTAGGAATGAAAAAACATTGGCTGGTAAGTAGCAGTCTGGTGTCTGTATTTGTGCACCTTATCCATGCAGACCTGTATCCAAGGCATGGTGGTGTGAATAGCTCCTTGCCCTCTTGAAGAGGTAGCATCCTGCTTCACAAGCAAATTCCAATCCTGCATGAAATCCCTGAAAGCTCTAGAATATCCAGTGCACCTAAGAAGATAAAGGGATGCACAGGCTAATACCGTAATGCTTTAAAAGGTTAAAGACTGCTTTGAGCTGCAGACTTGCTGTCTGTCTTAGCAGACAGTGTCCCATTTTGCTCCTTTTCCTGCTATCCAAATTAATATTTCAAAGGGAGAGGAGGAATTTCAACTGAAGTCTTTCTCTGTTCTTGTATTTCACTAACTCTAAGCTTGGTTGCACATGTAATTGAAATGAGTGCCAAAATAGCATTTTGAAGTTGAAGGCATCGGTATAAAATTTTTAGGTTAAGTTGTCTGTTCTGTGGCGAACTCTCCAGTATATTTTAAAAACTGTACAGTAATCTTGTTGGATACTACAGAAGCCTCAGGTATTT